ACGTATGAGTGTGACGTCGGCCAGTGGATCGTTGCTCTGCTTGCGCTTTACTTTGGATCGATCAAAGCTCGTGCAAAATTTAGCTCGTGCAAAACGTCCGCAGCAAATTTGAATGAACGAACGAACGGTGATCGCATGCTCCTAAACGATTAATCGCTAACGACTTCCGGGGAACATTTCTCGAGAAACGATCTTTGAACGTGCTTCGGATATCCGTCGACATTAATTTAACTCCGGGAGAATCCGGGATATTCCCGAAGTGTATTGGCGTAATTAACAGGACAAGATCAAACAGATGCGAACAGGTGATAATTATCAGCTGCGTTCAGGGTACATATTATAAACTTGTTCAAAATGGATTTCGATCGGAATTACTTCGTTTTTCTTTTTTAGAGAAAACACAATAGAGAGGGGAGGAATAATCAAATAAATGGGATTCATTCCGAACATTCCATAATAAGTAGAAAAAAAGCAGCTTTGCTACTGTTGTAAATATGATTAGTTGACCTTAATTTCTCACTCAATTCAAATGTATAAATTAATCCATATTACTAAATTTTAATAAATTTGTATTAATTATTTGTTCGCACAGTATTAATTAAATATTTATTAAATGTAAACATACATTTGATACAAGAATTATTAATTTGATTTAACTATCATTTCTTTCATTAAAAATATTTATTCACTGTAAGTAACTTTTAATTAACTATTGTAAAAAATATTAAATTTAGTAAATCTTTTTTCACGGTATATAATAGTTCCAAAGTCATTTTTTAGTCGATTGACGCAGCCAATGAAATTCGTCTCGGAGCAGCGATTACAACGACGAAACGCATTTTGAGGAACGTAAAATCGAATAACCACGCCGACGCGCAAACCAATTCTTATCGCGATCCTAATTCCGTGAGAAGCCGAAATAGCGAATTGACATTTTCGGGGTACACGATACCTCTTGGCTATATCTCTCTCTACCGTCGCTGTCGCCACCCTTGTAATCCTTATTCTTCATCGCGGCGGTGCGGCGGCGGTGCGGCGGCGGTGCGGCGGCGGTGCGGCGGCGGCGCGGCGCCGACAGTTCCTACCCCCTTGCTCCCATTCTCAGTCTGCTCGTTTTCTCTCCCTCACGGTGATATTGATCCTCCTATCGCGAGGCCCACCCACGAGCAGCGATGTTAGACTGCCATTCGACCTAGTGTAGAATCGTAACGCAGATGAAGACACGCGGGAGGCGACCAAAACCTCCGTTTCGCTCGAGGATTTTCATTGGAAAACAAAAGAAATGTGAAATAAACTTCAATATAAAATAATACAGAATAACTCTGATTCAGTCGGGATAACTTTGGTCTACATTTTGAAAAATACCTAAATAGCAGGCATGTTTAAAATCAAAACATAAGATATTAAATTATCTTTACTCGTTTTTAAGATGTCTTATTTCCCGATTTTAATATGTGTACTGTTTGGACATTATCAAAATTTGGATCGAAGTTACTCTGATTCCAACTCAAAGTTATTCCACTTTGCAACAGCTTTTTTTTTTTAAAGGAAACATACCATATATGGCTGGTAAACGATAATCCCGATTCCAGGTAGATCAGAGATTCTTGTGGAGGAATAGTAACACGTTATATCAGGAAAAAGATAAATAAAGCGGGGTGCGCGGAAAGTCTCACGTTGCACGCCGATCGCGAAACGCTCGCGTTATTGACGGCAGGATAAAACGTGCCGGATAACGCACATTAATTTTCGGACGGATCGATACGACACGCGATAAGCCGCCGATGGTTTATCGTCCCTGGTATTTTCCGCGTGACGAAACGGATCGAATTTATCTCGTACGGTTGATGACGAATTTCCGATAACGCGTCAGCAACGCGTTATACCGACGACGGAGATTTTGGAAAAGTTCAAAAGTTCTAAGTGAAGAATAATATATCTTGTAGGAACTCAACGCTTTTATTAATAACAATTCAACATGAAATTTATTCTATATACGAAATGCCCGTATTATATAATGTTTCTTTAATAAATATTTATAAATAATACGAGATGTATATATATATATATATACACACATGCGTCCCCAATCAAGGCCATCCTCAAGAAGTTTAACACGTTGCAACCTTCGTCTCAATTATGTCGTACTTTTTCACGATCAACTGTCAACAGTACGAAAAGTTAACGTTTCGACGATGCAAATATGTCTCGATATACTTGTCTGTCTGCGCGTACGTGCACGTGATTCCTTTTTGTGCGTAACAATCTCGAGCGTATAATGTCGATACTGTGTAGCTAGTTTTCTCTAACAGGTCGGTAATAAACGGCTCAAATTTTTTTTTGTTAGGCACTGCTTTCTTCTCCGCAATTTGTTTGGAAAAAAGAGACAACGATCCACTGTGACAATCGATATCACGCACTTTTGCACTTTCTCTCTCTCTCTCTCTCTCTCTCTCTCTCTCTCTCTCTCTCTCTACTCTCTCTCTCTCTCTCTCTCTCTCTCTCTCTCTCTCTCTCTCTTTTTCTCTCTCGGTTGGTCCCTAATGCTCTTCCCTATAACAATGCGCAGTTTCGCCTCCTCGCAGTTCTCTTTTCCCTCCCCCTTCTCCTCTTGCTCGCGTGAATAAATCAATGTAATTTGATTTTTGTCAAGATTTTCTCAAAGATTTCACAAAGGTATTGACGTGAGAATCAGCCTCTGATCTTCTTCTTCTTCTTCCTTTCCTATCTTTTTTTTTTTTAGATTATGTTTTATGGCCCCAATATTTTATAAGAGAGATAGTGTTACCCCACCCGATTGAAATTTAAAAAATGATTATTATTATTATTATCTTCTAATCCACTTGGCGCGGGACTTGCTAGTTTCTAGCGGAGTCGCGACAAGCGATAATAAAATCCGATCGGAAGTCTTCGTGCACACTTTCGGCGAACGGTCGAGGATGTGCTTTCTGCGTATGTATATAGTATAAGCGCGGGATTCAATATATCTGCTTTACTCTTATATTATAACATTAATATTTCTTTCTGTGTTTGTTTTTTTTTTAAACAGTACTTTTGATTAGACGAACCACAGATCGCTATTCCTTTTTTGTTATCTATGGAATGTATCGCTATTTGGAAGAATAATCGCAGATTCCTTTTCTCTCTTTCTCTCCTTCTCTTCCTCTCTTGTAGCATCGAACTACATAGTGACCTATTAATTATAACATTAACAGTTCCACATATACGAATGATACAAAACGCAAACTTTAGGATTTTGTTCATTATTTTCATGCTCTTAAGAATCTTCAAAATAAAGCCCAAGATGTTACTGTTTGATAAAATAAGAAAAAGAAAAGAACGGTGAATATTTCGACGATACACTCCGCGCAAATTCCCGAGAAACAATTGCGCCTTTAGAAAATACAAGTAGTTCGCCGCGTCGAAAATGGAATCTACCTCACCGTAAATATTTGTGTGCAGCTTCGACATAACGCGACACAGCACATTCGGTATTAAAACTTAATAAATATATGTACCAATTAACAAATGTGCCCTGTCGCTGAAACATTCATTTTCACGTCTTTTACACTACATACTCCCTCTCAGTCGCGCATAATTTTTTCATGCACGCATTTCCACCTGCATATTACGTCGTCATTAATCACTATTATCTCATAATATTTATCTATATATTTTTAATTCCTTACTCTTATCTAATCGACTAAACTGTGCGGTCGTAACGCTTCGAATTTCTTCTAGTTTTCAATATATATTTACAATGAAGGACCATTTTATCTTGTATTAGTGCTAACAATGCAGTTTAGGAAGAAATTTTGTTCAATCCTTCTTACTGTAAAAATCTCTGATGTATGGATCGATCAGATCAGCGCGCGATTTTGCGTCACGCGTCACAAACTCATAAAATTCAATGTTTGATAATTGACTTGCTGTGATAATTGTAAATATGCCGTTAATGGCATAATTAAATACGCTACCCTCTAATCGTTACGTTACTACATTATTATTTCCATAATAATGTAATAATATAACGATATAGTATTACGTCAATGTGATATAATGATATAATATAATCGTTACATTGTTACATCATTACTCTTATAAAGTATTAACGCCCGGCCAGGCTCGCCTGTCCAGAAATCTTGGACGTTTTGCAACGACGAGCCGGCGCAAGGTAACCAGTTTTTTTTTCGACCGAATAAGTTCAGTCGAGAAACTCTAATCGTGGCCTCCTTATCAATATGAATATCTCTATCTATTTGCGCGAATTTTCAACGTGAAAAATCAAGAGAGAGGAGAATCGTTTTGCGGAATGCCCGTCGAAGTCATCGCAGTTGTCGAAGTCGTCGACGCGAGCACTCGGAAATTTATCGATCGTTCTCGATATAGCCAAGCATGGGCGAACTTGAAAAGAAAATAGGAACCGCGTCCTCCTGGCTTTGCTTCGCTTTTTCTCAAAATGCCCGAAAACGATAGAACGATTTCCACGAACGATTTCTCTTGATATCCCACGCTACCATATCTCCAGAGCTAAAACTCCCTCGCCCTTCGGCGGTTATTATTACAAAATTAAATTTTACTAAAATGTGATTGCCTAAAAGAATAGTCCGGCGGCCGCTGAAGCGGTGACCGAGAATGCACTACGACCGGTTGTGGAACTGTCGCACCGGTGGGTAACCATCGTTATTCGCAATTGTCATTGAATATAACAAATACCTGCATATCATCAATCTGTGCTCGTTTCTTTAACATCAAACTCAAAAGAGTCAGTCCTCTATTATAGTATTATTATTTCCATCAATCGTTCTTTTTAGAACTCTTAATAAGTTTCACTCGAATCGAACATCTCGTTTATAGACACTACTTTTTTGCAATTAAAAATCAAAGATTCGAAAAAGATATTCGTCGGGTCGATGTTCTCATCCAAATTGTACTGACGAGACAATCGATGTTTGATACAATGAGGGAAAACACGATAGGAAGAAGATCAATACGTGGACGAAGTGAAATTCGTCGATACCGTTGCGTTAAGTATACACTTTAAGGGGTCAGTTTCACTCATTTGACATTGTAGTAAAATGGGCATACCGCCAGGCACCGACATCTAAACCGACCATACCGTATGGTTCTATTACAGAATATCGAGATTAAAACCGGCCGTAGAATCGAGAGAATTAAGCAGCTCTTGAGCACTGAAGTTCGACGTGTCTCCCGTAGGAAGATTTTCCAAGAATTCGAGGGTAAAGTCAGGGGCCGTTACGGACGGATCCGTAGTTGTGGCTGGTGGTGGTGGTTGAGTATGCTGCTGCGGTGGCGGTAGACTACGTACTCCAGGACTGCCTGCGCCATACTGTTGATGCGGATGCAAGGGAGAACCTGAACATACAATTTATCGAGTCTAATTAAATGTGTCGAACGTTGCTACAAATATTCGTGACACAAAACATAGAGCAGATAAGTCCCATTGGTAAAATCCATTATTTTCACTTGTAATGTTTTTACGAGAGCAAAAAACTTGAATAATTTTTCTCATTCAAACACACTGTCAAGAATTTTTTAAATTAAGGCCCGATTATATCAATGTTACTTTAATGAGACTTAACGTTCTCTCCTTCTTCTTCGTATCTTCCGATTTTAAAAAGAGAGAGAAAAAGAGAGTTTTAAGCCTCGCACACAAACTACACACAAGCAATCGGACATAAGAAAAATGCATCGTTTTAGTTAACAAACCTTGAATAATGTGACATGAGAAATATAATCGATTAAAATAGAAATTTGACTAATTTTGCAGTTACAAGAAAGATTTTAACTAATTTTTGAACAAAATGTTCGCCATTTTTATTCAATACGACTGATGAATATATAACTGTATTTACAACAATAGTTTAACTTCTTTCAGGGTTTCAATGCAAATTTTTTTATATTTTTCGATACAACTGCATTTTTTTTATGATTGTAGCTGTTTTTATAAATGTTATCCACATAATTCTATAGGGAAATTCTGTTTAATTTATATGATTAATAATTATAAGTTACGCTTGAGCTTGTCGTAACATCTTTGTTTTCAGTGTATATCTCGCGGCTCATTCATCAGTAATGACTCACCGGTCCCAGTAACGTTGACTGAATTTACAGACGTTGTCTGTGACATCTGCATCTGCAACGACATCTGATTGTTATTCTGCTGCATAGCCAGCGTTTGTTGTTGATGCTGTTGCGTCAACAGCTGTTGCATTTGCGTGCTGTTGGACATCCCTGAACCAGCTATGCCGCCGTTTTGTGAACGAATTAATTGTTGATGTTGCATCTGTGCCGCAGTCATTTGCATTGTGCTGCCCGCGCCGCCCATACCGAAAGCACCTGCGAAAAATCATGCGATTTAATAAAATCTCGCAATTTCAATTCAAATTTTCACAAATAATAGCAAATAAAATTTGCGAGACGTGCTTAATTCTCTATGAATATGATTTGCATTTATGGGTTTATATCCAAACAAAACGCGGCGACACGCACATTTGTCATCTCCGACGAAAATGAGGACATCGTTCGAGAGAACAAATAACGAATTAACGCGAAATAAGTTCTGACATCAGCAACTGATTCGCAATTTTTCTAATGAATGCAATAGTACGTCCGGATGTTTTCCAGCAAGAGATAAACGACACAGTATAACACAGTGAATTACGTCCTTGCTGTTTGCCAATTAAACAAAGATGAAATGTTCACTGTGTTATGCTGTGTTTCTCATTGGAAAGCGCATCATATCTGTTTCTCCTTCTCTCTCCCTCTCTCCCTCCATCCCTCTCTCTCACACCTTGGTGACTTTGCTGGTTGAATTGCGAGCGCATTTGCGCTTGAAAGCCCTGCTGTTGTTGCATCAAAACTGCATGTCGCCATTGGTCCTGCTGCGCGCCGCGACCCGCTATGCTGTTTCCAAGGCCGTCCGGAGGTCCAACGCTGACGTTGGGCGGCCGTTGATTGTTGGTTCTCGGGTAGCCTAGCCGTTGATGCATCTGATGCATATTGCCGATGGCAGCCATCCCACCGCCGCCCATGTACATATTACCGCCGGCCGCGTGTAACGCCTGCTGCTGCTGTTGTTGCGCCATTTGCGGCCTCATCATCGGACCTGCGAAAAACATCCACACGTGCCATAATGCAGAGCGTCGTCTAACGTTGCTACTACTGCTGCCGCTGTTACTTAAATGCGAAAGCACGTAAACAACAAATTATGTGACAGTACGAATGCATTATATTAATATTAAATTCAACCGAATTGATATTGTAAATCGCGATGACGTCATGGTACCGGATCATCAAATTCGAGAACGTGAAATTTTAAGGGAGAGCAGTGCTCAGCGCGAAAATCTGCAGATTTCCTTCCGTTTAGATAGAATCTCGGGAAAACCGGCGTCGACTCGATCGATAGGAGGTCTTGTAGAGGCTAGGATATATAAGGATAGTTTCGACTCCCTCTCTCCGTCACCTCGCCGCCACCTTTTGCCAATTCTGTCTCTCTTCCTCTTGGAGCGAATCCAGCGGAACGTCAGCATCGCGTTTACGCTTGGTCGAATTCTTTCTACGCTGATATTCAACGTGTTACCCGCGCCAAGATGTTGAATAACGGTGAACATGAAGTATCGAGCACATAAAATATCTATTTACTATCACACAATGGATTTTGTATAATATTAATAGTATTTTTTCGCGAAACTATCCCAGTTTTCGTACTGCTCCACTACTTCAAAAGTGAGACAACTCAAAAAATTAAGTTTTCCAAAAAAGAGAAAAAACTATTCTTCCATTTTGACAAAAAATTAATGACTAATCAAATAATATCAGCAAGAAAGATATAATTCTAACATCAAATACCAGTTTCATTTCGCAGCCCTTAAAAGATCATCTTTTTTGAGTTGTGACAATTTCGATTATTTGATAGGGTAATGTTCATCACTTATGATAATAACTCGAAAATCACGTTTTGAGTTGTGCCACTTTTGAAATAAAGAAGTGATATATTGTGAAATGTAAACATTAAACTATAGAAAATAAGCAAACAGGGTTGGTAAGATTTTTTTCGAGCTTACCCGACGGTGGCATAGGTTGTTGCGTAACTCTGCGCATGGGTCCAGTATTTGCAAACCTCGCTTGCTGACCCATACCGATACTAGCATGCATCATCTGTGCCTGGGCTGCGGCCTTATATTCGGGTGGTGGCGGCCTTACACTTCCCATTCCACCTGCCATATGTTGTTGTTGCTGCATTACCTGCAAATTAGAAACATACAAATATCAGAAAATAGAACAGTATACAGAGGCAGAACGCTTTAATATTAATTTAACTGAACGTTTTAGAAGAGAGATGTATTAAAATCGTGTATCATATATTTTCCTGCATTTCTAAAGTCGAAGACGGACACATTCACGTGTTCCCTTTTCGGTGAAAAAGTCATCTCACTTCGAAAGGTAAGACTTCGAATTCGAAGTTGTCTCCGGCGACCGGCATCGATTTGAAAATCGGCGAGTGCTGAAAATTGCAATGTGTGCGATGTTAAGATCGCCTCGTCGCGGTTTCCATCGGTCTTTTGCGGAGCCTCGACAAAGCGAGAGAGCAGAAGGGCGTTGCACGCCTAATCGCAGGTTGTTGCTCGGTCGAGAGTGGAAAGAGACGCCGGCCGGTGCGACGAACGAGAGGAGGTGAGCGGAGAAGAGTGGTGCGAGAGCAGGAGAGCGAAAGGGTGAACGTATCCGACGCAGCGGCGGCGGCGAGAAAAGCGAGACGAGCGGCGAGCTGCATTCTGGCCGCCACGCCGATTCTAGCATCGCGATTGCCGCCGCTTTGTATTGTCGTGTGCTTTCCTCGCAGCCGCGTAATATCTGCAAGCGGGAAACACAAACTCGAATGCTCTTGCACAGTGAGATCGCCGCATCGTCATCATCGATCCTCGCACAACGACGCATCTAATACGGTCGCGATATATCACCTGATTGCAAGAATCAAAGGAGAAGAAAGTGCATAGATTTAAGAATTTAACTATATACATTGTAGATATATAGATGTAAAAATAATTGTGTTTAGGAGAGGACGTTAGACCGATTGCTAGAATATTAAAACTTTTCATAGTATTGTCATCAATTGTTTAAGCGTTTTACATATTTCACGATTCAACAAAATTATATTTTTAGATCTAATAAAGTTATATCTAATAATAGTCATGAGAGTATTATACATATATCTATAACTAAAATTCTTAACACTTCAGCAAAACTCTACGAATCGTAGGAGAAAGATTCGAAGAAGATATAATTTAAAACTTGTGCCACAGTATACGAATAAACAATAAGTTCATATTTTCCCAAAAATCACATTAATAATTGTCTCTCGCGCGTATGATAAAATCGCACAATCAACAACACGGTGATTACAATATTCACTAATCAGCAAGGCTAGTATTATTTTACTCACCCCCCTCCCCCCTCCCAAAAAAAAACTCGGGGAGTAAAATAATACCAGTCCTTCTGAACAGTTAGACAATTTTAATTTTGATTTGTTTCGTTCTGATTTGTATTGAATTCGAATTTTTAATTCGCAATCGCTCCAACGCGTAACATAACACATATGCTTAAAGCCGTAATCACACTAGCGATTGCGCGATTGTGATTGACGATTGAGGATTATTTCTCAATCAATCGGAGCAAAGCAGTCACCGATTGCTTTGTTCCGATTGGTTGAGAAATAATCTTCAATCGTCAAATCACAATTGCGCAATCGCTAGGGTGATTACGGCTTAAAAGAGTTTGAGAACTTTAAGCCGGTATTCATAGTCAATTCTTATATTCAAGATCGTCTTAACTTAAGTACAATCTTAAGATGTCACGAACCAATCAGAGGGCCGTATTCGCGTCTTAAGACATTATACTTAAAACAGTGTTCAAATAAGAACCGACTATGAATACCGGCTACCAAAAAAGTATTTTGTTTCTTCTTATTCTTTTCGTCATCGATTCTATTTGTGCGAATTTCATAATTTTGCAAAAAGCTATCGAGATATTCAATTATCTCGATTCGCATTTCGGTAGATACTGTATATAACGAGAATGGGAATGGGTTTCTGCAACTGTTACGAGAGCTCTGGTAATTCCTAGAACTCATAGACATTGCACCATGATGTTGTTCTGTGCACGTTAACTATCCTAATGGATCGGAATGGATACGGGGCCGATCATCCCGTCAATTCCAATATCATCGCGAGGCCGCGAGCAAGCGCTAATCTAGATCGCTACACGTTGCGTGTAAGTCCGGAAAGAGAACACAGATCCGCAAATGCAATAAAAATATCAGTCTATTATTTTTGATGCTTTCTGTTTTGCGTATGAAAGATTCCAACTCCAACTCTCGTGTTCATAACTTCGATTGTACTTACGCGAAACATTAGTAGAATTTAAATAATTCCAAGAAATATAATTTTAATTATAAATCGATAAATATTACAACATCATGTGCTGTAACAACAAAAATTATCATTTTTAATATTGCTTGTAGAAAAAGAATTTTCAGATAAACTGTAAGGTAATAAATATGTATTGGATAAACAAGAGTAAAAGAATAAGAGAGTATATAAAAGAGTAAGACCATGAGCTGAAATTTACCGAAAAGTGGAACAACCCTAAAACATAAAGAAGGCAGAAGAAAAAATGTATTTTAAAAGAGAGAGAGAGAGAGAGAGAATATACTTTTATATTTTTCTACAATCAGTTGTGTTACATCTAAATTATATTTTAAAATATAACAAATTTTATAATTCGCGCGCAAAATATTGAAATTTATCTTCTGGAAAATTTTGTTTTCCGAGTTGTTGTAGCAAATGAGCGATATGTAGAAGTATACTGATAATAAGAACTATGGTCCAAGGTGAAGCGATTCAACCGCAAGAATTATGCTTCTTCAATTCATTGAGACCGTTCGTTCTGTCTGCTGTTAATCAATTACATGCGTATATATGCAAAAATGTGTTTTGAAAGAAAGCAATCGATTCGTTGCATGCTAATATTGGCCGAGCACTCCTCATTCGAGATAAAATCATTGGGCTGGCTGCGCGTCGTTCTGGATGATACACCGCTTTATCGCCGCTCAAGCTTATCCCCGACTGAACAGGATGACTAACCAATTGCGCGAAACGTACAATTAGTAACTGGAGCACGAGCGTCGTCGTCTTTGGTACCTTAGCATTATCGAGATAACAATCGGGCCGCTGCAGACTGAGTCATTCGCCGATGCGACGGCCACGCAAGCAAATGCTACGGGATCTCGATGAGTAGCTCTGTGTACGCAATTTTGCAATTGCCAGTGTTGCGCTTGTATAATATAATAAAATTTATGTAGATACAGATCAGATAAATTACACGTAAACATATCTTAGATAAGATAATTTTATTTCAAATTTAGATAAAAGGTGCAATTATAAAGCGTTATAGATAATTTTAAGATAATATCACTTTAAAGCAAAACCATTTATAAAATATAGATATAATACATTTTTATCATCTAAATCTTTATTTTTTTTTAATTAGAGTTTCTCTAACGTAAATATTTGACGGATGATTTCTGTATGATAGGGGAGAATGCGGGAATGCGGCGTACCTAAGGAAAAGTGGAATATTTACTATGAAAAATGTTTTAAACACAATAAAAGAAAGGATAAAATTTAAACTGAATATCACGCTTGTCACTCTCACTGTATGATAGATTTAATAATATTTTCACCGCGTAATACACGAAATTATTTCATTTTAGAAAAAGTTTATATGCATCGTACTACTCCATCATGTAATGCAGTGCATTACAGTTTTTATATTAAAAGATTATTAATACCGTTTTCTGATTTTGTGTTAAATTTTGTTCATAAAGAGTATGCCATAAAAAAAACTCCATTTTGAGAGCATAATCGCATAAAGCTTGTTATGTAAAGCAAAAAAAACATTGATCTGACCTCAAAATATAATTTTAAAATGTTATATTTTTGTCTCATTATTTTCCGAACGTGAATGTCTGACGACGAAATATGAAAGGGAATAACAATAATTTTCCAGCAAGAGAGAGAGAGAGAATACTTACTTTGATAGCAGCATTTACCCGCCACATTGCCCGCGCGCATTTTTTTTGTGTTATTTAATTATTACAATTAAATACACTATTATAAATACAAAAAAAATAAAACTTGAAAGATTAAAATTTTCAAATGTCATAAATTGTTTTACAAAGCAACAAAATTATACAGATTATACATGTTTGAACCACAAATCTTACAAAAAAAAGGTGTATTAAACTAACTTTAGTTGAAAGTATATCAAAATAAATAACTCGATAAAAATAAAAAAATTATTTGTTAATCCTAAAATTTGTATACATCCTAGTTGAATATAATTAAATAACATTAATTTTTGAAGTGTAGCATATCGGATAATGCAAATTGTTACAATATAAATGCGTCGTATTGCCCACTGCACTGTATTCTCTCAATCACTCTTACGTATAATACATGCACATTGCACATATCTGGACAACAGATATGTGCAATGTGCATGTATTATACGTAAGAGTGATTGAGAGAATACAGTGCAGTAAGCAATACGACGCATTTATATTGTAACAATTTTAACATTCTATTGGCGCCGATATAATGGCGAGATATAATTGAAAAAAAAAATTTGATATTATGGGTAAAAAGTAAGAATCTAATTCTTTAGATTTAGATTTTAAATATATAAAATTATTTCGATATTGAAAGTACTTTTTTTTTTTAAATAGGCGAAACATTATCGAGTCACATATATCAAGTCAGTGCTCAGAATTACATATCTTGGATAGTACTGATTTAACAATTTTAAACATAAACATCTGGTTTATAAAAAAGGAGATGTTTAAAAGTCTTATACTGAGAAAAATACATATTAAATTTAATATACATTAAGATAATTTGAAAAAAAATAACACTCTTTTTACCTAAAATAAAGATAGGAAATAATACCTTATTTTAATAATTTAGATTAGATATTATAATATCTTATTAATCACCTCAAAAATAATAAAATAAAGCCATTTCTTTATTAAAAAAATTATCTAGATAATTTTATGTATATAATAACAATTAACACTGACAATTACTAAATTGACTTCCCGGTGACGCGTCTCTAATCGCACAATCATCGTTATTTTTGCAATAACCAATAAAAATGAATTAGATCGCGCGATACGAATGCAATAAAAAATTACTTTATCTAATTTGAATCAATTTAAAAGTTTAAGAATGACTTCTCTATATATATCAGATTCTGGATGTACTGTGATCGAAGAGTTCGATTGAAAGTCTTTACGATAGAACATTAAAGAGTCGTTAAAAAAAAGGTCTTCTATGAAATTCTCTTTAAGGAAGGATAATCCCCAATTTTCTTCTCGTTAGAAAATATTTAAATGAAAGAAAAAAAATCAGAAAGAATATATGCGTGCAATCAGAGGAAATGATATAATAGTGTCAAAATACATGTAAGTGACAACATATACAGTTTTTATGTGTTAAATTAATACATATAGTTGAATAAATTATTTTGTAATTATTGCGATTATATAAAACAGTTTATTCGGTTACGTACATTAATTCTACATAATATAAAGCTTGTATAGTTATCATCTATACTACCGCTATGTTTTTCTCTGAGTGTGAAGAGACCGATAAACTACATTGCGCGTCGCTTACTGCGATAAACCTTTGCGTGCGGAATAAGCGTGGTAAATTACACGTTTAACGTCATCAAGAGTTTGTCGCCTTTAAAACCGACGAGGCGAAGAACCATCACGAACAAAAGCGTACGTATCGACGACGCTTAATCTCGCGCGAAGTAATCGCTGAGAACGCTAATTTGCCGATCCTGCCTTCCCTCGATATCACGGGCTCTCCCACAGGAAACTCCGTGGAACGCGAAGCAAAAACTTTTTCGTCCATTGTTCCCCGTCTCGGAGAAAGCCCGCGTGTCCCCCGTCGCGCTCACGCTATTTGTCCTATTTGTGTCGTTTCTTTCAACACGACGACGGGGCAGAAGTTGCAAAAGAGCAGTACCTGTTGCATACGGACGTCGCGGGCTCTCTTCTGTCTCTCTCTTTCTCCTTCTCTTCCTTTCTCGCCGGATACGAGCTTAATGTCTCGGATAATGTGCCATCGCGCTGCGATCTCGCGATTATCTTACCTGCATAGACGATCGTCACAACGAAAGCTTTCGCCTCGGAGGACGATATCGGTTATCGGTGTAACGGTTCGAGAATTGCGATTCTTGAGCGCGAACGATATCGGATGAAGGTGTGAGAGCGCATGGAAGACGATAATAATCGTATAAAGATAAACGTTGCACGTATGATCGTTACTACAACGTATAGAGAGCAATTCGGTACGAACGAAAATCGAACGCGTGTAATTTACATATATCTATCATGAAAATAATTTCGTATCTATGTTACGTATAAAAATGCGGATGGAGGTCATTTGCATCGATTGCGAAATTGCTCGGACATCGCACGTGTCACTATCAACCACGCGCACTATAGACAGCACAGAAACTTGCAGCAATTAACGTTATTGCAATATTGATAAAGCATTGCAATGTTGCTAAAATAATTTGAGTTGTATGTACTCAAAAAATTAAAGAAAAAATTGGCTGGATATGGTATAATATTTTTAATTTGGGGTGCAACAGCCAATCTTTTTCTTTCAATGTAGAAAAACGTTCCATACATCTCGAGATACGCAATGTAAAACGTTCGAACAAAAATTTGTTGTGAAAGACAATCAGTAGGTTGCTTACCTGTTGCGCGCGCATCAATTGCTGCTGCTGTTGAAGAAGCTTCGCGTGCTGATGTTGATCGACCTGGCCCGGCGGCACCTGCTGCGGATGGCCTCGCGCCCCTGGGCCGGCGGCACCCGGCTGTGGCATTCCGCCGGCGGCCGCGGCCGTCGCTCGCTGTCTTAGGCTCTGTTGAGTGAAATTGATGGTTTGGGACTGCGAGACCGAGCAGTAGGCGTCGGCCTGATTAGCCGATGGCCCGGCCTGATTCTGTGTTTGTTGCTGATTGAAGTACATGCCCTGCTGCGCCGCGACGGACACGACCGGTTTCAATTCGCTCGTGACCTGTAAATGTTGGCCCGCCGACACCTGTAACAAAACAAAACCGCAGATATGTATTTTGCACTGCAGTTCGTCTATCTCGCACAGATCATGGGAATCAAGTTTACGTTAATGATCCTCAAATAAAAAATTGGCCACCGTCGTAAAATATCACGAATATGGCAGACCGAACTACAATTTTTACTGCTACACAATGTAAATAATTAAAATATGTTATGTAGTTTTATCAAAATATGATAGAACTATTGGCATAAAAAATATATGACTATGAATATAACTAGAGTATAATTGTAAAGTATCATATATAAAAAATCACATATGTATATTAAAAAACTTTCAATATAGAATAGGACAGATATTCAGTCTGTCTTAAGTGTCGTCCTGAATATAGCGGATCAATCTTTAACCTAAGGTTTTCCGGCCTGCGCGTAATAAAAATAAAAATAAAATATAAATTTAATAATTCTTACGCATCGGCGTTTGCTTATTATGTCAGACTGCGCATTCACACTTAACAGTAGGAATAATGGGGTTGGCAAAAATCCAGTTTAAAAAAAATCCATTTTTGGGGGGTTTTATGAGTTTTTGTGGATTTTTGTTCTAGGACTCTAGTACAGTCATCTATTGTTTTAAAAGCATAGTATCTGTTCGACAAAAACATAACCTCAAAAAGTTATTAAACAAATACTACGAAGCTTTAGGACTAGGATTTTATTAATATCATATACGTGAGTTTCGAAGCTGCAGCATCTATTCTGTATAATTACCATGGATAATATTAATAACAAAACTAACAAAAGAGGTAATGGACGAGGGGCTATTTCTGGAACTAATAATGGTGGTGGTCGAAGAAAATGTCAAGAATAGGACCATATTATTGAAAAGCGTTGCAAATATTGTTACATTCAAATTACTTCCGGAAAAGTGAAAATAGAACGGATTAAATCACATTTGAAAAAAAGTGTCAAAATTATTTACGACAAAAAATATCTAATATTAGTAATACTGAAAGTGATGAACATGAATTAGAAATTATTAATAGCGCTGATAGCGGTATTAATAACAACATTGTATCTGGCTCAGCTGATATATGTAGTAACCTAGTAACAACGATCATTATAACGTAAATGATGCAGAAGACGTCACAGATGCAACGTCTTCTACATCAACAATATACAGATATTAATTACTAAAAATCTAGGTTTTTGTAATTTGTACTTTGGTTTTTGTACAAAAACCCAGTGGGTTTTTATAAACTGGATTTTTCTGTGCCAACCCTGATAATGGATTGAATTATATGATATATCGATCTCGTTTATTAGCAAAAAATTAATTATTAATTTTGTTATGAGATTATTAGTTATCTTCGCGTCATGAGTTTTTTATAGATCAGTTGAACTGTCGGTTATTCGTAAAAATAAAAGAAACTCGTAGGGAATTGATGTTTCTTGTAAATATCAGGGAATGGAAGTAACTCGTTACTTGTAACGAAGTTACAGTTACAAGTTACTTTTTTGGTAACTTTACTGGTAACTGCGTTACTTTCTTTTTTTGGTAACTGTAACGGTAACGAGTTACATTTTTTGGGTAACGGTAACGAAATTTACAGTTA